CACCAGAGTTTATACCACCTCAAATAGCTAAGGTCATTCTGCATAACCGTGAAAGTGTTGAACCAATTACTTTGGAAAAAATATATGTAGTAAAATTGAGTATATACATTGATTTACTATACGGTGTGAAAACACGGTTCCTAAAAATTTTCACGATAAGAATAAAAACACAACTTAGCTCGAAATTTTACAAGAAATGTATACTATGCGATATATATTTTTCGAATGGTTTTGATTTTGTTTGTAAAAAAAGTAAATCTGAAATAAAAAGCAAAAGAACCGTATTACGAACTGAGGTAGTACAGAATCTTTTAAGTTCTTTATTAACTCAAATTATAAAAAAAATATTTATGGAAGTTATTTTTTCATTTTCATAGTTGTTACGTAAGTAGCAAAGGCCGTTTAAAGTTACAGATACTGTTTTTATTCCCCGTTCTTCAATCGCCATTTATACTAAGCTCCACTCCACAGTGTTGCCATATCTATTGAACCACAATAAAAAAAAATACTGTGTACGTAGTAGATTTTTAATACTTTTTAATTAAGTGACTTTAATCTCGAAAGTCTCGATATTCCCGAGACTGAAAACCTCCGAAAATGCCAAAAAATTCACGAGACTTTCGAGACAGAGATTCCCGGGATGAAAGCCCTAGTTTAGTTGCAATACATGTCGCTAACGGTGAACGAACAGGACGGAGCAGGAACGAGCATCTTCGTAATACAACTCGAGTCGCCTAAACCCGGTCTTCGGTCCTCCAAACTTCCAAACACTGGGACATCTAATAAACTGTAGGCAATAACGATACCGTTGGATAAAATATAATGGTCACCTTTTACTATAAAGGATACCTTTACAGAACTGCCGTCTACTATTGCAGTTTAAAGAAATCATGTTTTTTAATATTATTATTAATACAAAAATCGAACAAACTAGAGGCTGTTGCCTAAACGTGGCTATTGCTCTTACTCCTACTTATTGACTTTTGCATAAATGACAAACAATACGTTGGCCGTTCTTCGACCTTCTTTTTGAAAGAGTTATTAATAACTCAAAGCAAAAAACTTTTATTGAAAACCAGCCAGTATGATACGTCAATTGTCTATTGATTCCACATGTTATCGGCTGTCATGACAACGCGGTCACAACAAAAACGTTTCGAATTTAGAATTTACAGTTTTTTCGCGAGGAAATAATATATAGTTAATTAATAACAAATGGCTCAATTTTGAACCTTCGAGCGTTATTTTTTTTAGTAATGACGTGGCTGTGAGTTAATAATGTCCGTGTTAAGTTTATTACCAGAGGATAAGAAGAGAGATTCGAGGTTTCTACCTACACTTTATTTTCTAGAATGTAGTGTATTGGAATTTGATTGGCACGTACATGTAATTTGTACCGTATTTGAGTGATATTTGGTCAAAATTGTTGTTTGCAGTAAGAACACACTTCTCTACGTATGTATAAGTGAGTACCTAGATTATGCCCATTTATACTAAACCTAACACTTCACTCATAGTAGCCTTTGTACCTTGTGTAATTGATTTGAACTCTATAGTAACTTACGCATTCAAGTGAAAGTTAATCGACTCGAAGCCGAAGTGACGTATGCACTAATTTATTTGAATACTTATCTACTGGCTTTATATTGCATCGTACGTAATTGAGTTAGAGATAGTTTATCTTTCTGACTAAACACTAATTTAAACAATTTCACCTCTGTTTTGTATACTTTTTTAACCAACTTCAAAAAAAGGAGAAGGCTCTCAATTCGACTGTATGTTTATTTTTTTGTATGTATGTTACGCGGTAACTCCGGTATTTGTGAACCGATTTTCATGATTCTTTTTTTGTTGGAAAGAGGGATCTCCATAGTGGTCCCATTTAATTTTGAAGAAAATCATCCACCACTAAGGGTGGCTGTTCACGCATGAAGATTCATTTTTATAAATAGCGCCTAAATTGTATTATGAGCAGCAATTTTTTAATGGTTGATTTTGCTATTCTTCAATTCAAGGCGTTTTTCTCTCGATATACTTTGAGAACCGATTTTTATTATATTTTAGTGGCGAACTAGGGGATGAATCCGGGTTTGCGCACTACCCGGTAACCGATTTCAATAAAACATGATAATTATATATAATTCTACGTACTTTTGAGGTCGGTTTTTTGTACTGAGATTATTATGTAGGTATATGTTTTGGGTCTGGATACACGAGTATTTTGGATTTGTAAACATTTTTAACCGAGTTTAAAAAAAGGAGGAGGTTCTCAATTCTTCAATTTTTTTTTGTGCATGTTTGTGAACCGATTTCGATGATTCTTTTTTGATGGAACGAGGGTACTGTAGCCCTGTAGCAGGCTGGATAGATTATATTATTATTTTATATTTGGAACTGTATAAAACCTACACGAAACCTAACCTGACCTGCGCGAAACCTAATTCATCTCCTAGCTTACCACCCTTAGGGCAAGCCAGAGGATGAATCAGGTTTCTCGCACTTTCTGGTAACCGATTCCAATAAAACTTGGCAAATAGATGTACCATTTCACGAACTTTTGAGGTCGTTCTTTTCAGCATTACCTAACAGGGTTTTACTTGACAAACCGTAATGGCCAGCGAACCGGTAGACGGCAAGGCAGAGGACATTTATCAATGTACATTTTATGCTATTTCAACTGAAATTAAGTTAATTCAATTGAAATACTTAGATCATGTGAAATAAGGCATAAACTTCTATGCTTTGAGACCAATCTCGGAGTATTGCAGCATTTCTCTCTGCGGTATTGAAGAGCACGCTAGAGTACCCCGCGCGGGCGGAAGCACCGGTTTGCGGCGGAATCATCATGTACCACCGGAATCTGTCTGAATGGCACTAATCGCGAGTGGAACGGAATCAAATCAGAGCGAAAGGTGGCATGTCGGCGAATGCCTTGGCATTCAAGCTGACTCTGAGATACGCTGGCGGATGCTTTCGGAATCGTAGTAGGGATATCCCTCATCCTCTTCGACACTCTTTCCCGCCATTCGCCGGTTTACACTGGCCCTAAATCAGTTTACCGTAAAATAGGTTTTTTCGAAATGAATGTCAGACTAAAACACTACCGGAGACCACACAGACGTCACAGACAAAAACCAGTTTAGTAAAATTTACTTCCCAATTGATAACCGCTGCGCCATCGAGGTTGTTAAAGTATAGACAAACTTTTACCTTCCACCACCGTCACTCATCGTCATGTAAGATAGTGGTCTTTGTTTATTTTTACCACATTTAAAAATATGCATATTTCACAGAAAAGAATCATTGGAAAGCGTGTACAGCAGCAACTCGCGGCTGAATCTGCTGACCAAGAGGAAACGCCTAAGTCCACTGGAAATGTCGCAAGGCAAGGGCGACCGGTACGTCGCGCAGCGTGTGCTCTCGGCAAAGGCGCATCGCGTTAAACAGCTGCAGAATCAGTTGGCGGACGCCCACTACCACTTGCAGGCGAGTGTCCACATCACAGTGCACACCGCCGCCTCATTAGACTAAGGAAATAGGATTTTTGAGATTGTCAAATTACATCCTCTGCATTCTGCATTCTAACAATAAAACTTATGATTTAAATTTCACAGGAACTTAGCAATGAAAACAAAGTCTTGCGAGCTATACAGAAGAAACATGAAATCGCTTTACAAAGGTAAAGTCTACACTCGTCACGATTATTTAACAATATTATAACGCACACATTATAACGCACACACTCAACATAGCCCCGCACTAGGGAAACCCTGTGTCGCGGGTGCCATGGACACACACATAGACAACCACAAATTACACCCAAACTCACGAGAGAAATAATTGTAGGCCATACAACTATTTCTCCCGGCCCGGGAATCGAACCTGGGACCTCTGCGTGGCAGTCCGGCATGGTAACCGTTCGGCCACGGAGGCAGTTAAATTAAATTATGTACCACGTCATGATGCATTTTGTAACTTTTCGCTTAAATGACCAGATATGAGAATTCGAACGCGGAGCTACCATCAGTACTAAACTCACATAGCGAAGAAATAAGAATCCAGCAGGCAAAGTACAAACAACTGAAGCAGCAGTTTAAAGAAGTCACGCAGAAGCTAAAAGAACGGGACATGCAATTACAGCAGTTGAAGGATGAGCATCAACATTTGTTGGAGTTAAGCAAGGAACGGTAAGAAACGTTTTGAATACGTTCCTTAGTCTGCCAGATTGAAGTGGTAACAGGCTGTAGCCTGTCCATGGGATACAATGTTTTTCTGTGGAGCGATCAAGAACTATGATACGGGTTGGAGAAGTTTGCGGAAGGCTGTTAGTGGCAGGATCTTTTGTTCTAGCATATGCCCCATCAAGCCCGGCTAATTATCATCTTGTCCAAAGCAGAGATAAAGAAATGTAATCACAATATCACCTAATCTTTATTCCAGAAATCTCCCCGAACGAGAAAAACTCCAAACCCAAGTAACGGAATTGACGGCAAAAGTTAATCAACAAAATGAGACAATAAACGTTCTGCAGCGTCGAATAGTGCTTGAAGCCAAAAACTTCAGACATCAGTTGCAGAATGAAATCAACAAGCATAAAGATACGAGACACGATCTCGATTTGGCTATAACTAACGCTGACAAACTGTCGACCATTATCGAGGTAAGTAACTTGTGTCAGACCCGAGGCACTCCGTACGATCGCTACAAACACCTGTAACGGCATTCGGTGTTTCAGCGCCATGTCGTCCTTTAGCTGATTGGGATAGCTATCAATTTGACTCGTGCAGAAGTAAATATTTCTAGCCTTTCATCCTGTAAGGCTGCTAACTGATTGACTGCATGTGTGCAGTTAATGCGTGAAGGCCTAATCAACTTCATGCAGCCGAGACAAAAAAAAAGGCTAGAACTATTTACTGGCTACATATCCTCCGGTCCCTCCAGCCGCTTAGGTTATTGAGACGTGGAAAGACGTCGTTTTTTTCGGCGTCAGGTAGTGTGCGTGCTTTACAGCTCCGCCACCAATGAGGAGATTTGGTAGCGGGCTTAGAATCGACGGCTTAGCGGAGGCAACCGCTAGTTGTACTATGCGCTACGGGATGTGAGCGTGCCTACAGATCCGGTATGTATCTGGTAATAGGGAGGGTACATACTGTACGTGCACCCGGGGCGGCTCAGCCAAGGCACTAGCCTCTCGAGAACCGGATGTAAAACACTGACTGGTCTGGGATCAGAAACTGAAAGTTTATAGTGCCCGTCTCACATACCCTAAGAGTCGATGGGGAGGGTCACTTTAATCAAAAGTAATGTAGAACAATATGGGGCTATATCATGGTTGTATGCAGTTAATGCGTGAAGTCGTTATCAACTTCATGCAGTCGAGGTCTCGGATAACTCTTTAACTGCAAACATGCAGTCAATCTGTTAACAACCTAGAGTGAGTCTTCTATATTTGTACTACCTGTAATAGTAGCCACATATTGATTAAAGAATTATTCGTACAATATCCAGTAGATTGTATACATATCTACAGAGTTTCTGATTTTGAGCTACTATTACGTTGCACGTCAGTCGACAAGCTTTTTGAAATTAAACAAGTAATTCGCGTTTATTCAATCCAAACATGATTCCAGAAAATGCAGTCAATTTTCAGATGAAAGAAAAGATGATAAGCACAGTTGCAAGTCGTAACCTCAAATCACCGGTGAAAATGGCATCAGCTGCCAACATCAGCCAACATCATTCAGCTATGCCACTAAAAAAATCAGCGCAGCACGAAATGGTTTCTTCTGCTAAATGTGGCGGCGGCGACGATAGATTCCGGCAAGATGATTGCTCGGAGAGGTCTACTGTGAGTATTTGTTTATTATACACTGAAAGTTTTCACACATTACTTAAGAATTTTAAAACTACATTGCGAGTGCATGGATTTATACATTTATGATACCCATTATAACAATAGATTTCCTTATTTTGCCAGGTTGACCATATAGCAAGACTCTGCGAAAGCTCTCGTAACATTACCAGTGCGTTGTCCCACGATGATGACACTAGCTCTTCCATTGAACCTCGATCACGCTACGTCAGAAGCCGCACGAGTTCAACCAGCACCAGGTCAACTCCTCCAACTAGGAAGAGCTCTAAAGGCTCTGACGAAATGCTCGATCTAGCCAAAACAGTCCAGGAAGGCATGGCTGATCTGTCCATTTTTGAAGAGCTAGAAAAAAATATATCCACCGAAGACATGGAAAAGAAAATCGAAATAATGAAAGCTGATCTAATGATTAAGATCAAATTGGACAAGGAAGAACCTGCGATGAAAAAGCCTAGTGCCGTGAGGCGGCAGTCAACTGAGGAGTCCATTGAAGAACAAATTGTTGAAGAAATTGAGAGACCTAAATCGAGAGGACGAAGGTCATCTAGTGTTTCTTTTTACGATGGTGGCAATAGTACTGCTGCTGTACAAGAAAATACTACCACCACAGTCGCTATTAACGACTACAGGTCAGGAAAAGGTGACGAAATAGAAAAATTCAAATTTAAAGAAACTGCTAGTGCTGTAGAAAAAAAATCTGGGAAGAATATAGACAAATACTGTAACGAGATAATCCAAGATATAGAAAAGAGCACGAAAGTAATAGATAAACATATGAAGCAGTTAAACTATTCGAAATTTGAAAGTGACAAATTGGTGGAACAACTTCAAATGGTCGATAAACTTAACGACCTCGTTAGTTCTACAGGAGATATGCCCAATGGTACTTTGGAAGAGTTAAATAATAATTTCAAAATGTTGACTGAAAACGTCTTTAGCGAGAATTCTATACCTAGAAAGAGGTCTATATCTAGCAGGAGAGGTTCGAGCAAATCTAGAAACGATTTGTTAGGTGACGTGAATATGACTAACCAAGACTTGTTGAACGATTTACTGGGAAAAAATTAATGCTGCAATATCGTTCAGTTGTGTTACCTACACATTGTATGTGCTAAGATTTGTTTATATCAAAAGCTAGTAACAGATATTTTAAACAGTATGTCACCTGGATCTCTTTGTGGACCAACATAACTATGTGTATTCCATAAATTTTAGGGAACTGATTTGAAACTTCTATTGCTCAACAAATTGATGGCTAAAAATATTATGCCATCGTCGAAGCGTTGGCTGTCGAGTATATTTTTATTGTTAGGGATATACCAGTCCCTTTTTTTCAGTCTCAATTATGGTCTTATTATTAATATAATCTATAATAAAATGAATGTTATATGAAGTAATACAAAAAATATTACATAAAAAGTCTCAACAAATGTTTTATGTGTGTATATTTATAAACATATATATTTAATCTTCTCAAATGGAGTACCTATTCATTACAGAATTATTTTTCCTCTTGATTTGGCACTTCCCGGTTATTGTTTGTGACACTATAAGACGAGGAAACGTTAACTAAGACCTAATATGTACTTTTGTCCAGCATAGGCATAGGCCTGTGTTCTCTGTCGAGCATTGTCGGAATATGATTCTTATAACACGAAACGAGATGTTTACAACAATTACATTTTAATTAAACTTTAATAAATCCCCGAGTTTAAACAATGTACCTAGCCCAAAAGGTCGCAGAATACGTAACGTGATTTTTACCTTCAATGAGTGATTTATTGTTAACAAAGTTACATATACAACATAGTATTCAAGTATACGTGACGGGAATGGGACGAGACGCGAAAAATATCGTCGTCGACTATATTTTGCCCGTTCCGTCCGTATAACTAACCTAAAGTCGCAATCAAGAATTGGATAGCCTGCAGTCTGTTAACATACACTTAGGTGGCTTAAGTATATGTTATTTCTTGCGTTAATAAATTTCTGTATCTGTAGAGACTTGTACAAATTATTGAAATTAATAATCTTTTAGAAGGGAATGTCTTGTTTGTCGAGTTATTAATATTGTGATTTATAATGTAAGACTGGTGTCATGGTGAAAGTTATGCGAATGCGATTCATTCTTTGGTGCTTTAATTATTTTTTACCCTGTATTATTCATTTTAGGATATTAGCTTCCATTGTTACCGTGGTCGGTTAAAACGGATTTGTCATTGTCATCATCATCCCCAGCTGGAAAACGTCCACATTGCCGTTTTACAGAACTAAGATATCAATAAGAATCCTGTCTAGAAGCGGCAAAAAGAACGCGTTTGATTGATTTTTAGCTAATAAATAATCGAAAGAGCCAGAAAATGGTTGGACTATGGCTAAATATTTTTTTATAATAGAATTGATGGGATGAACAAGTCGTGCACCTAATGCTAAGCTACACGCCTGTCTATAACAGTTGCAATGTAATTTAGATCTTTAAATCGCAAAAATCTAAAGGGCGCTGCCACTGCTCCCGTCACCCTGAGACATAAGTGGACAAGTCCCATGTTACTGTAATTTCTCCAGCTCCCTTACTCTTCAAGACCGGAACACATTAATGCTGACATTACTCCTTGGCGGTAGAAATAGGTAAGGGGTTAGTACTTCCCTGGACGAACCCTTTCACAAGGAGCTCTACTGCTGCTAGAATACCAGTGACCATTCTTAGCGTTATTTAAAATGACGTCTAAGTACCAGACAACCACACCAATTGCCTGGTCTCATTTTAGGGAATTCCCTGTACTATGGTACCAGAGCAACGGATTTCCTTCTTGCTTAGAACACCCAGGCCAGAACCAATTTAGGAAAGTTAATTCCCCAAATTGGCCCTACCGGGAATCGAACCCGAGACCTCATCCAGTGCCCACAGTGCAAACCATTGTGCCACCGAAGTTGTCCAATAAACACTCGATAGCCAGTCCTTCACATGTACACTGTTTGTACCGACAGAAATAGGTTAGTGAATTCGATATATTTCTGCCAATTTTTTTGCCATTGACTGTGTATTCGCGCATTTGGTAGCATATTTAATTATACTATACTTTTCTTTAGTTATCTTCGGATGATCACCTGCTGTTTCCGAGTGTTGCTAATTACGGATAAAATGACTAATTTTAGGTATCGCATCACTTCACCATAAACACCGGCCGCGTGAGTGTGTCGATTTCTAATCTCGCTGTATCGGAGTGTTTTATATATTGATTGTTATTGCGTGTTAACTACGAGTGGATGAGATAATATATTTTGGGTAATCATTGTTGTTTTTTATTTCTGATAGGTATCGATTTTAAAGCTAAAGCGGTTTATTATAAATTTGTTCCTTCGGTTCAATTATTTCGAAACAGAAAGGAAGCTGATTTTTGTAATCATAGCACGATGAACTTTATATTTCTCTGAAGGGGTACTTCAATACTGGGTAGTTTGTTGACAAGAGATGGTAAGTGTGAAAGGGACATTGAGAGTGCAAGCCGGACATCGAGTGAATGGAGCCCTTTATGCCTTAATGGGTAGCCAGAATGTCTCAAAACAGGCAAGCTTGGCTGTTTATCGAGGCGTGCTGGTTCCAACCCTAATGTAGTGAGTGTTGGGTGTGGGAGAAAAAACATGAAAGTAGGGTGAATGCTGTAGAAATGAGACCTTTGCGCAATATGTGCGGTATTAAAGATAGAATGTCAAACAGTGAGGTAAGAGAACTGAGAGAGAGAGAGAGAGTTGTGGTATTAAAGATGATGTAGTGACAGGGATAGAGTGAGGGATGCTTTGATGATTTGGTCATGTAGAAAGAATAAATGTTGGTCGATTGACGGCACAAATTTATAGAGCGAATGTGGATGGAAGCGTGGGGAGAGGCAGACCTCGGCGAACATATCTCAATCAGACTGATCACGTCCTTAAAAAAGGCCAGGTTAAAAGTACCAAGAATAAACGGGCATGTATGAAGAGATTGATGGAAGTAGAGGTGGCGAAGGTTTGTTAGGAGCGTAGCAAATGCAGGTCCATAGTCTCTGCCTACAAAAGTACTACTTACAGTTGTTGTCAATTCAAATGAAGTTGTGCTCAGTGATTGGATGAATAACGGGTCGAGGATGATTCAAATGAAACACGTTCGGCTATTTATTCAATAAGCGGGGATATTTATCGACTGCAATCACTATAGTACCGGCACGTTATGATGGCCGTTTTGACGTTTACCCGCTCATCATTGTTTCGTATTAATTCATAACTATGATTTCAAGATAGTTTAGTTAGGCTTAGAGTATGGATTTTTTTTTCCATCCTCTAAGTTTGAAGCTTAGAGGACGGAAAAAAATGGTGTCTATAGTCAAGGGTTGAAGGAGCTAATTGTTGTATATTATTGTCAATAGTGACGTGCAGCATTTATGGAATACATAATTTCATGACATACTGCGGCCTTTGTTTTTCGAAATTTTTAAAAATGAAATCTAATACGATCATCACTTATTTGGGTCACTGGCCAGCACAACTTCTACCTCCGGCAAACTCGCGTCAAAGCTCAATGCAAAACAAAGCAGTTTCGAATTGACGATATATTAAGTAAACATTTTTATAGGAAATGAAACTATTTTTCCGGATTTAAATCGCGTATATTTGTTTTTTCAAACAAACCGACGTTGTTTTTTCAGTCAACCGTGACCATGGGACCTGTAAAGGGCCCGAAACGTCGGTTTGTTTGAAAAAACAAATATACGCGATTTAAATCCGGAAAAATAGTTTCATTTCCTATGTGTAACAATCGCGAAAACCTAAGAACTCGATATAAACATTTTTATTTTCGTTTTATTAAAACTTTTCAATCAATTCATAGATGCGACTCGCATTTGACTATATTTTTCTCGATAATGAAATGAATTGGGACTCGGGATCTCTAAAAAGACAGCGTTTAGTCCGAAACGGTCCCGCGGCGGCGCCAGCAAAGAAAAGACGACAGTAAAAAGAATAAAATTTTAATAATGATAACTAAGGTGAGGGATTATTTACCCGGAGCGGGAGGGGGGCGCGGGGCGCGGGGCGCGCGGCGCGACGGGCGCGCTAGCGGGGCTAGCGGGGCGTCGCAGCGCGCGGCGCGCGTCACAGCGGCCGCGGGGGCGGGGTCGCGGGCGGCGGGGAGGCGGGCGGCGGCAGGTGCGGCGGCGGCTCGGGCTCGTCCAGGTCCAGCGCCGCGTCGATCATGGTGGTGTCGTGCAGCAGCCGCAGCCGCGACGCGCTCAGCGTGGCGTCGCCCGCGCCCGCCAGCCCGCCCACGTTGATGCACACCTCTGCAACACGGCCGGGCTTGTCTCTCCCCTTCAGACCGGAACGCAGTAATGCTTGCCTGGGCGCCGGGCGGGAGGCGGGGTACTCACCCTGCAGCGGCATGGGGTCCAGGTCCAGGCTGTGGTTCATGTAGGCGTGGCGTGCGCCGCCGCCGTCGAACAGGTTAGTGTAGCTGCCCTGCACCGCGGCGGCCGGCGAGGGGGGGCCCGGGGGCTGCGGGGGCGCGATCGGCGGGGCGGCCGCGGGCGCCACGGTCAGCGCCGACACGAAGCTGGGCGGCAGCTCGTCCTTCACGTCGATGGTGAACACGCCGCGCCTGTCGACCGATCGAAATCGTGTTCACGCTCTCCCCGCCGCGGTCGTTCGGCGCGCTCCCGGCCGCGTACCTGTCGATGAGGCTGGGCGCCAGCGGGCCGCACAGCACGTGCCAGCAGTTCGCGCAGGCGTTGCCGCGGGAGTACGGGTTGGGGTTGGACACGCCGCGCCGCGTCGAGAACGAGCCCTTGATCTGCAACGGAGGCGGCGGTGAGCGCGGAAGGGGCGCCGCAGCGGGGACGGGGCCGGCGATACTCACGTCCTCGTTGGTGGTCTGGTCGGTGGAGGCCAGGTACGTGTGGAAACCGGCCAGGCCCAGCACCGACCACACGGAGAGGAAGCACACGGCGGCCACGACGGCCGAGGCGGGCGAGGTGCGCAGCGCGGCGGCCAGGCCCCCGCCGCTGCCGCCCGCGCTGCGCGCCAGCAGCACCAGGTGCGTGACAGCGCACGCGAACACGAACACGGCCAGGAAGGACAGCGACACGATGAACGTGTAGAAGTAGCGGTAGTTGCGCTTGCCCACGCAGTTGCCCACCCAGGGGCAGTGGTGGTCGAAGCGGTCCACGCAGTTGTCGCACAGCGAGCAGTGGCTGGCGCGCGGCGGGCGGAACATCTTGCAGGTGAAGCAGTACTTGAGCTTGACGGGGCGGCCCTTGACCAGCACCTCGCGCGCGCGCGGCGGCGGCCGGGCGGCGTCGGGCGGCTCCAGCGCCGCCGCCTCGGCCTGCGCCGCGCGCGGGATGATGCCGGGGTCCGACAGCGCCGTGCGCAGCAGCGCCGACAGCGTCAGCAGGAACAGCGCGGCGCCGGCGGCCGGCAGCGCCGGCGACACGCTGGCCGCCAGGTACGGGCAGTCCACGGCGAAGTGCAGCGCCGTGGTGCCGCACACCAGCGCCAGCGTCAGCAGGAACACGCCGGGGTGGGGCGCCGTCATGAGCCGTCCGTCGCACCAGAACCGGTTGCGCCCCGCGAACACCTCCCACTTGCGCGTCACGCGCCTCGACGCCATCGCACCATCACCCTCTGCTCCTCCTTACTTGCCTGCGATCCGTGATCATTATTTGCTTTAGACTCAAAGATAAAGTGCGTTTGTCATTATCTTAATCTCTCTACCCTTTTAAGAATGCACAATTACTGCCTGTGTAGCCTGCATGTTATAGTATACATAAGAAACTACAATTGTAGTAATGTACCAGACAACTACACCAATTACTCATCACACTGACAACTGTTGATCTTCCACAACTATGAAATCAACTGCAGGCTTATTTTCTAAATTCCTTTTGGGAATCAAACCTGGGACCTCCTCATGCTAACTGCACAGTGCAGAGTTGAAAAATGCTTATTTATGCACTTATAGGCTATTTCATATTGTTTATATTAAATCAATCCACAAATTATGTCACTGTTATGATGAGTCAATTTCTAATGCTTTCTACACACATAAATATACAATGCATATTTTCTTTAAATATCAAGAAGAAAAAGTGGCATATCAATAACATGATTTGCCACTTTTTCAATTATTTAGCAGAAATATGTACATAACCAGATTGAACTCTGTCTGGTTTCTGGAATACTATTATGGTAAAATGTTACATTAAAGCTAATTACACAATAATAAACTAATTATTTATCTTCTTCTCTCTAAGTGAGAGAAGTGGGGCATATTATGAGGTATTAATAATTTATTCAAAGGCTTTCTATACACCACAGCAGACATTCTTTAAACAATAGGATCTAATTATTTTGCTATCTTGTCAGAATGAGAAAATATTTAAAAATTGGTGAATCATATCTCCCCTTTTTGATAGATAGTGGGTGTTAGTCAATGTTATCATTTCATGAAGTGATCTTAAAGTGTTGATTTAATTAAGCCCATTTATACTAATAATTTTTAAATTTTTGATAGATGGAAAATTCTTAAGTAATTATCAAAACTGAGGACAAGTGCACAAAAATACAACAAATTTCTATATTATAATACCTTAATGTGGACAGAGACGCCTATCGTATGGCATTAATTCACAGTAGAAACAATTTATACCAAGTTTTTAACTTTTGAATGTTTTATGAATCTGACTTGATTCATGTGCCTAATTATTACTTTGGAATTCTGTGCCACTGCAGACGATGATAATAGTGTAATGTGGCCCAATAAGAGCATGAGCATAACGTTATCGGGTCAGATAGCGATAAATAGCAGTAATCGTACCGTGGGATCACCTGGCTCCTCCCTTGCGCTGGCCTTACGCGCTCCACTCTTCGTTGGACTTCTTACGCTGCTGATCTGTACTCTTTTGGTTACAAGAGTACAGCACCACTAGACTAAGCGTAGCACAGTTTATCAAAACAAATCTACAACACAATTGAACACAATACACTCCACTTCTTACTTTATTTATCTCATCATCAAAACACAACTTTACACATTAACTATCTTATTATAATTGCACTCGATTGATTATGGCACGTAAAAATTAATATCATAGATTTGTATAAATGATTTGTGTACATAAATGCGAAATAAAAACTAAAAACTTTCTCAACTCTCATAGTAGTATTCAACCATTTTTGTCAGAAACGACATAGACTAAAAATGACACCAGTAAATGACATATCATAGACAAAAAAATTATGATCGTTTTCTACTAATATGTTAACTCTGTTTTGAACCCCAACTCGTTAGATCCACTGACGAAAAATTGGAAAAATATAATTTCCAAGGCTCATATTATTATATAAGTTTATAAATATATTTTGAAATTTTATTTTCATGAATTTTAAAATAAACTTGTACGGTTAAATGCAACATAGTAAAAAAAAGAGATTTATTAATGATTTCATTCATTTCGTTCAGTAATTTCAACCTCAGACAGGTTTCAACGTCAAATGTGGAAAATTAAAGGAAAAATATCTGTAATATATAATATATATTTTTAAAAGTATAATTTTTTCTAAATTGAATTTTATATTTTATTTTATTTATTTATATATATTTATTTTTATTTTATTTATTTATCAGAAAAACAAACAGTTACATACCAAACAAATAACAAACATTGACCAAGCAAGATTAAATAAATGTGAACCTACGTGTTCCACAAATGTGTGACAATTAAGATACTACGGGTCGTATTCCAGAACTCTACTCTATGCTTAAGTCAGGACTTAAGCAATAATTTAAAACACTAGAAATCATACTGAAGTCTTTGCCGTTAGGGTCGTATTTCCAGTGCTTGAAATCATACTCAAGTCCTGACTTGAGCATTGAGTAAACTTCTCGAATACGAGCCATCGTATTCCAGAACTCTACTCTCTCTACTGTCTGGACCAAGAGTCGTATTCCAGAGACTCTACTCAATGCTCAAGTCAGGACTTGAGCAGACTTGAGTATGATTTCAAGCACTGGAAATACGACCCTAATGGCAAGGACTTAAGTATGATTTTCAGTGCTCACTGCAATACTCAAGTCCTGACTTGAGTATTGAGTAGAATTCTGGAATACGACCCTATGACTCGCTTGACACATGTGCGTAATCTTATGGAATTATATTTGAAAATTTCGTTTATACAAACCACTAGACAAAACTAACTACAAATTGCAAAATTATCAACCGAAACCAAATACTGTCGAGCAAGACTAACTCAAAATTTATTTGTTAATCTGCCTCCGTGGTCGAACGGTTACCATGCTGGACTGCCCGCAGAGGTCCCGGGTTCGGTTCCCGAGCCGGGAGAAATATATGTATGGCCTACATTTATTTTTCTTGTGAATTTGGGTGTAATTTGTGGTTGTCTACTTAGATGTGTGTTCATGGCACCCGCGATATAGGGTTTTCATAGTGCGGGGCTATAAGTGTGCGTGTTAAAAATAAAAAAAAACTGAATGAAACCAAATTAGCTTATAAATTGATAATAATTGTACATAATAAATGATTTCTATTTAATTCCATTCTATTCTAATTGAGTATTACTTATGTATAAACAAAAATAATCACATTATTCGCACTCAGTTCCATTTATTATGTTTTTAATTTTTAAACTGTGTTTTGAGTTACGACGGTTACAACAGGATTTTGGTTTTTTGTGCGAAAATTTTTTAATGTGAAATTTTCGTACAAATCGGGTACAAATTTATTTATTATTAGCAAAATGTTCTTGGCTTTGACATGATGCACTACGAATTTGTCAATTTGTGTTCTGCAAGCTTGACAAGTTGGAACTTTACCTTTTGAGAGAACATATAAGTAAACTGGAATTTTAAGGGTCATTAATTGATGAACAAATGGAATAATGTCCAAAGATGTATTGGCTAGTTTACGGTGTTATTTTGACTTAAACTTAAGGCATTATCGTAAAAAATTAAAAAGTATTAAAAATTCACTCCTATACATATTGTTATACCTGTCTAAAATGATCGAAAGGTTTATGGTTGCTCTTGTTGCTATAATAATCACGAAGCGTACTGTATCATACCACATGTTGCGTCTGTGCCGAAAATACGAAAATTTGTACGATAACTGAGATCTCATATCGATTCTATACCCATATCATGTCATGTTCACCTGTAATTGATTAAGCATTTTAACTTTAATACCTTTGTAAATTAGTGTATAATATTGTAGTAACCAAATGTATTAAGCGTTGGTGAATTTAAATAAATAAATAAATAAATAAATAAATAAATAGATAGTATAAGGAATCAAGTTTATTTTATAATTCACGCTAAATAAAACTTCAAAAGATATTTCTAAACGTAGAACACAATATGAGCTTTTCAAATTATATTTTTCCAAATTTTCGGGAATTTTCCGAAAAATTTCCACTATTTGAAATTTTTCGGAAAATTGCTCAAGACAGCTGGTCTGACAGTGACAGATGATGTCAACATGACAACAAGGCATTGACACCTCATCTGATTTTGTGAATTGTGAAGGTAACTAGGCCCGATTTTTGGCAACTAGACAAATTTAGATAAATAAAAACTTTAGAGGCTTGCATAACAATTTTGTTTTTCGCTCGTTAGACATTAGTTGTGAATGATTCCATTGTTAAAAAAATTTCTAACAATAAAACGAAACGTGGCATAAAAATTTGCATTGCACGATCAAGCGACCATGTAAGCGAAGAGACAGCTGCGTAGAAAATAATGGACTGCAAAGAGACCAGGTAGTGGAGTGGCTATGCGGGTGGAGGTGCGACGGTGACGAGCAGTGGCCAGCGGCCGCATGGCGCCAATGGGCGTGCGGCGCGAAGTGCTGGCGGTGGGCGCGCTGTGCGGCGCGTGGTACGCTCTGAGCTCGGCCAGCAACGTCGTGGGCAAGTTGGCGCTGACGGAGTTCCCGTTCCCCATGACCGTGGCCATGGTGCAGCTGCTGAGCACGGCGGCGCTGAGCGCGCCCGCGCTGGCCGCTTGCGGCGTGCGCGCGCCGCCGCCGTCGCTGCGCGAGACTCGCGCGCTGCTGCCACTGGCCTTCGCCAAGTTCCTCACCACTCTCTGTTCTCAAGTTTCCATATGGAAAGTTCCTGTCTCCTATGCTCACACCGGTGAGTGCCAATTTTGTAGAATTTCCTTTTTCATTTTCTTATAGTTACTAATAATTAGGGAAGAGCCATGAGTAGTCTTCCCAGATCACGTTTACATAAAAATTAGAATATTGATGGATTTAACAAATTAGACAAGCGTCTCATAATGTAGACTAGACACAAGAAAACTACTTTTTGAACATTTATTACAAGTAAAAAATAATTAGTTTAAAAAATTTGAACAAAGGATATTTAGAATTTTGGAAAATCCTTTTTGTAACATGTAGCACATAGACACCCTAAAAATATCTTACTGAAATTGAAGCATTTGTAAGCACCAGTTATCCACCTAGTCAATCCATATGCTTGTAGGATGACCTGCATGTTTCAGCTTTATTATTTTTAAAACATTGTTTTGGTGTTTATGCCGTGCTTACGATGAGAACAGTAAGCGTATACATATTTTAAACATGTTCAGTGTTAATATTGTAAGCACGGCAGCTTTTGCAATGTACTATGCACTTTCCAAGATCCTTAAGCGGACGTACATGTGTGCAGTGAAAGCTACAACACCACTATGGACGGCGGGGCTGGCGTGGGCACTGTGGCGCGAGAGCGTATCGCGCGGCGTGGGCCTAGCGCTGCTGCTGATCGCCGCCGGCGTGGCCGTGGCCTCGGCCACCGAATTGCACTTCGACGCGCTGGGGCTAGGCGCGGCGCTGTCCGCCGCGGCGCTGCTCTCGCTGCAGCATCTGTACTCCAAGCGCGCCATGCGCGACACCGGCGTGCACCACTTGCGGCTGCTACAGGTAACTTCGGTCAGTCTGAACCGCCGCCCCGAGGAACGGAGGCCGCAACCGCCACCGCCGCTTGCAGAGGCTGTCGCAGCTGGCGCTGCTGATGTTCCTGCCGCTGTGGCTGTGGCACGACGGCGCCGCGCTGCTGGCGCTGGTCGCCCGCGGGGCCGGCGGCGCCGGCGCGCGCGTGGCGGCGCTGGTGGGCGCGGACGGCGCGCTGGCGTGGCTGCAGGCCGTGGCGGCCTTCAGCGTGCTGTCGCGCGTGTCGCCGCTGACGTACGCCGTGGCGTCGGCCGCCAAGCGCGCCGTGGTGGTGGCGGCGTCGCTGCTGCTGCTGCGCAACCCCGCGCCGCCGCTCAACGTGGCGGGCATGGCGCTGGCGGCGCTGGGCGTGCTCGTCTACAACCGCGCCAAGTACCTGGACCGCGCGGCGCCGGACGCCGCCAAGCGGCCGCTGCTGCCCGTCTAGGCCGTTAACTCGTCCCTCGGTCGACAGTATTTTTGTGTATTGATAGTTCTAATTGATGCAACTAAATTATTTTGTTTTTACTTTAATAAACGATTGTTTTTTATTACCGTTCCATTATTTGGTTCAAGTTTTCATCCTGGATCGATCGGTACACCTTACATGATGTACTAATACTAATTATAGAATATATTAGATAGCAGGATGAGCCTTGTAGTAATACGAGTCATGCAACCCCCGTTCCCGCCGAGGCGTATAAAGTGCATTTCTCGAACAATGTGACGAAATAATAAAACTAAGAGAGGAAGATGTTTAATTAAAAAAGCTAAAAATAAAGCTTAGACTATGGAAAGTAATATTTCACATTTGGTTAATATTCCCTTATGATTCCCTCTTGCTTTAAATTACGCATAGTAATCTATTACCCATTACGGTATTTTTAGTATCGCGACAAAAAAATACAAACTGATCGTTGACCCGTTGATTGAATTTTTTGTTTTATTGAAATAATGATTTATTAGGATTTATTGAACAAATGTTCGACCCAAACGAACAGAGTGTGAAGGCGAACTGAGTCGTGGGTGGGAACTACACGTGAGAGTGATCGAGACAACAATAATATTGTCAGTTCCAGACTGGCGGTTTAGGTGAATTGTTGAAAAACCTCTGAAATTATATTAAAGTCTAAAGGCCGGCGCAGAGTGACGTCACGGCACGGCAAAGGATTTTATTTTTGATCAAGTTATTTTTATCCTTATTTCATCGAGGTTAGAATTCATATTACTTTATTTCGATACAATTATACCGCGGCACGTCGCGGCATGCTGCGGCATGCCGCAGGACGCCGCGGTATGCCGCGGCACATCGTGGCATGCCGTTTCATTCCACAGACGTCCCGCAAGTCACGTCGGTCACAGAATTATGACAATTAAACTAATTGAAATAAGGTTTGAAACTAGTGCGGCGGCGATTTCGGCGAATGGCGCGCAGCGAATGTGCCGCGGCATGCCGCAACGCGCTTCGGCATGCCGCGACGCGCTTCGACATGCCGTGCCGTGCCGCGACGTCACTCTGCGCCGGCCTTAATATTGCGAGTATGATCAAAGAAAAGAAAAGAGCGTTGGTCAAAAGAAACATGATTGAAACTCTAAAAATGATCGAGCCATTTAGATGCTCGCGACTCGGGTTTTCCGGTCACAGGAGCTGTTCGAGTTATTTTGATTTTTCCGCTCCTCCTACCGATCGGAGAGCAAGGAAAAACCGATTCGAGTGAACATGATCGACACACGTCTACAATAGTAAAATAGATTAAGTTTAGAGCAGCGTACAGTACCGTAAATTTCATTATTTACTTTGCAGGCCTTAACCGGGAGGAGTAGCATGGTCCATAAATGACAAACTATTCGTATTCGTTTTTTGAAAGTAATGCAAACATTGTCGAGCATGTTTGAGAATCTTTGCATGCATGGTACAGCGCTGGCAACTTTGGATATAGGGTTGGCCAATTTGCTGTTACATATACCCACACTTAGTAGGTACTGCCAAGGTGAATGTGATGCGGAGGCCTCTCAGCCTCGTTCGGGACATACTCCGCGAGAATGTGGTTCAGGTCCTCCCTCTTATTACAAGCAGTTAGGAGACGAAATGGGATACGGCCCGCGCAAAACCGAAAAGCTGTCATGTCATTGCTAGCTGCATTAATCCAAAAGTAGGTAGTTGGGAGACCAGGCTGCATTGTTTTTAACTAAATACTTGTAGTAACGGATCTTATGTCAGTTTTCCTTCAAAGTGCCATATACTTTTTATTATTATTATTATTAATTATTCTTTATTATTTATAAATTCTTTATTACTATAGAAGCAATGTGTCAAAAGCCATTTTGTCAATTTTAATTTAAAAGTATATCCTTGTAACAATTTAATTTCGTTTGGTAATTTGTTGTAAATAATTATACACATGTTGAAGCAGTTGTTCTTATAAATTACTACATAATATGGCAACGAGGTTGGTATAAGAGATTCATAATTTTTGTTCTAGTTTGCCTTTGAATGACTTCACCGCGTGTTTTAAAATATTGAGGATGAGAGTTGACAAATACGCAGATATCCCTAATGTACATGCATGGCAAAAGTAATATGTTCAGCCTTTTGAACAGCGGTTTGCAACTTGAATACACTTCTTCTGGACTTTAAACGCTCTTTCTAAGATTACTGAGTTACCCCATAGGACAAGACCGTAGCTGAGCACGGACGAAACGTAGCCGTGATAGGCCGTCAACGCAGCTTTTCGCCAGATAGCTTGCCTTAGTCTTCGTAAAGCGTAAACAAATCTGTTTAGGTTCATGCACATCTGTTCGATGTGTTCCTTCCCGTTAAGGTTCTTGTCGATTGTCAACCCAAGAAAGTTAAATGTGTCTACTTCCTCTAAGTATCAGAGTTGTAATTAATTTTAACCGGTATGGGATTTGAGTTGTAAGATGTAAATGTCATAACTTTGGTTTTACTTATATTAATATTCAAGTCATTGATGTCCATCCAACTTATTACGTCTGTCAGTGCTTTATTTACGTTAATGTTAAAAGTCGCTTTGTTTTGGCATTTTATTATAAGAGTTGTATCGTCAGCAAATTGTATACAATTATGATCAATAGCATGTGGGAGATCGTTAATGTAGAGTAGGAACAGTAACGGACCCAAGACGCTACCTTGCGGTATTCCAGCATTAGTCGTCTTAAGGTGTGATCTAAAAACTTGTTTTTCTAATCTATTATTGTTTGTTTTTTTTTATGTAAGGAACTACAGACCCATAAGTATAATTTCTTGATTGACAAAGATTTTTGAACCTCTAGTTGTTGATCATTTAGAACATGCAAGTCCCCGACAGCAAGGTTTTATCAACCTCTCGCTCTACTGTTTCTAATTTACTTACTTACTCACATGACTTAAATATGGCTTTTAATGTACGCACGATATACTTTGTAGCAAGGCATATCATCTAGGTATTCATGGCTCGCTTAAGTCTTATTTGATTAAACGGTCTGTGTTGCCGTACATGGCTACGAATTTCTTCCTTTTGACTCTATATCAGGTATTTCACAAGGTTCTAAATTAGGCCCCCTATTGTTTATAAATGACCTAATTAACCTAATTTCTTTCCTTTGTGTGCAGCTGTTTGGAGTATTGCTCAGTAGTATGGTCTCCTCATAAAATTTATATTGACTAAATCGAGGCTATCCAGGGGCGACTACTTAGGAACTTATGCACTAAACTTGGAATGCACTGTAGACTGGTGACGTATGAGGCGAGACTCCAATTTGTTAAGGTTACTCCTCTATATGTTAGGTGGGTACTGTAGGATGTCTCTACTTTGTATAAAATTATTAATTATAATTTGGACGCCAGTGAGCTGTTAGGTCACGTCTCATATAGGATCGGCAGCAAAGACTGTTTTCGTTGTCTTGATGTACCAATAATGTCACATATTATAGCCCTGTCTTTCGGATGTGAAGAACTTGTAATGATATTTGTAGAGATGTTCTCTCAGTCACAAAACATTTATGAGTAACTGTTCACTGCTATTGAGTTGTTTTTGTGTAGTTTTCTTTATTTTTTTTATTGCTTTTAAGAATCGTAGTAAGATTGTTTACCCGTATGTCTCATTTTAAGTAGGAAATTAAGCCCTTTTTAATGTACATCCCTTATTGAAATGTTGAAAGGAATACAAATTTTATATTATATATTTTATGTATCTACCTACTAGATGTGCCAAATAAATAAAAAATGTATGAGGTTTCTTTCAAAAGTGGCGGCCACGCATGGATCCTGTATAAATCGATTGTTGATATAAACAATAAAAGCTATGCAACATAATATTTCAAGGATATGAATTAATTAAATGTTATTACTGGACCATAAGATGGAATACTGACAAGACTCCAATGACCTAGGGGTTTTCTGAAACTCAATACTTGAACTTCGATAAGAACACTAGGAGTTAAGAAGAAAACTACACAACAGTTTTTAATAAATATTACTTATTTACATTATATTTAATTAAACAAGTCACGATCACACTTTATGTAAAAAATACGCCACATTCATTCTCACAGGACAGCAACGTTAGGTCCCGGCGGGCGGGGTGACGCCTGCCGTCAAAAGAACACCACGGTGAGTAAGACGGTGATGTTCTTTTCGACGTAGGCAGAGGCTAGAGAGCGCGCGGTCCCGCGGCCGCCGCGACCTTCGCCGACGCTCGGCTTTTGGGCAGACTTGTTACGTAATCAGTACAGCTAATCTCGGGGGCGCTCGCCCGGAATGGAGGCGAGCGGGAGGCCGGCTCACAGCTCGTCGCGGTCGGCGTCGGCATCGACGTCGGCGTCGGCGTCGGGCGGCGCGTCGTCGGCGTCGGCCTCGAAGTCCTCGTCCTCGGGCGCGGCGTCGGCCGGCAGCCCCAGCGAGGTCTGCAGCATGCGCTCCACGGCCTCGGCGAACTCCACGGCCTGCCCCTCCTGCAGCAGGTAGCCGGAGCGCAGCGCCGCCGTGCGGTACAGCGTGGTGGCGGCCAGCGCCGCGTCGGGGCTGTCGGGGTCGTCCTGCACGCGGCGCAGCAGCTCCCGCACCACGGGGTGCCGCGGGTTGATCTCCAGCATCTTCTTCTGCGTGAGGTGGTGCCGGCGCTGCGCGTCGTCGGCCTTCTGGTGCGCGTTGGACAGCGCCAGGCGCTCCATGTTGCCGGTCCAGCCGAAGACCGTGGCCACCAGCGCGGCCGGCGAGCGCGCCAGCCGCCGCGACACCTGCGCGCGCGTCACCCACTGGCCCAGGCGGTCGCCCAGCCAGCGCGTCAGCGGCTCGAACTGCTTCTTGTACTCCTCCAGCTGCGCGCGCGCCGCCTCGCCCTCCTCCAGGTCGAAGATCTCCTTGGCGATGTTCTGGAACTTGTGGCCCTCGTACTCGGGCAGCGACGACAGGCAGTACTCGTCGACGGCCTCCGTCAGGTACAGCACCTCGTAGCCGGTGCGCACCAGCCTCTCGGCGAAGGGCGACTTCTCCACCTGCACAAGAGCGGGTCAGCGCCGGGCGCCGGGCGGCGGCCGGACTCTGCCGTCACCGGACTCACCTCCGCGCGGCTGGAGCCGGCGATGTAGTAGATGTGCGTCTGCTTGGGCTTCATGCGCGACACGTAGTCGGCCAGGAAGGTCATGCTCTCGCTGCGCGACGAGTGGAACCGCAGCAGCTTGGCCAGCCGCGACCTGTTGCTGGGGTCCTCCATCACGCCGAGCTTGATGCTGCGAAAAGGAAACCGCGGTGTCACCGCCCGTCGATGCCGTGGTCTTGGCCAGGGCCTCTCCTGTCGTTCTCCATCCGACGCGCGCCTCGAGCGATTACCGTCAAATAAGTAATACTCGACTAAATCAAAAAGCATTCAATGCATTTCTTTAATTTGATCAAGTATTACTTGTTTGACAGCAATTGCTCCGGACGGAGACCGACAGCACAGGCCAGTACCCACGTGCGGCTGAACACTCACTTGGTGGAGTACTCCTTCCAGAAGTGCTCGTACTCGTCGGCGGGGATCTTCTTGAGCATGTCGAGCGCTTTGCGCACCAATTTCTTCTTGATGATCTTGATGAGCTTGTGCTGCTGCAGCGTCTCACGCGACACGTTCAGCGGCAGGTCGTCGGAGTCCACGATGCCCTGCAACATTCGCCGCGTGAGCTCCGCCCTTTCCGCGGACGTAAAGGCGTCCTCCCGAAGGCGCACTCACCTGGATGAAGGCCAGGTAGTTGGGCATGAGGTCGTTGAACTCGTCGGTGATGAAGACGCGGCGCACGTAGAGCTTGATGTGGTCGGTCTTGGTGCCGTAGCGGTTGAAGCTGTCGGCGGGCTGCACGCGCGGCACGAACAGCAACGCGCGGAACGTCACCTCGCCCTCGGCCACGAAGTGCGCCCTGCAACCGGTTCCCGTCAGCCCCTGCCGCCGCCGCCTCGCCCGAGGGCGCCCCTCCCGCACTCACTTGGCTAGCGGCGCCGAGGTGTCCTTAGTGAGGCTCTTGTAGAACTGCGTGTACTCCTCCTCGGGGACCTCGGAGGGCTTGCGCGTCCAAATGGGCTTGTTGTCGTTCATCAGCTCCCAGTCCCACACCGTCTTCTCCGTTTTTTTCTTCTCCGGCTTGTCATCGGCGTCCTCCACCTGCGCGATGACACATTTTACTCCAGTTTCTATTCGCTACTCCGCCACACGCCACCAGCGCTGGAGGAAAAGTAGAAAGCGGGAGGCCCCGACCTGCGCGTCCTCGTCGGCGTCGTCGGCGGGCGCGGGCTCGTCGTCGGGCTCCTCGACCGTCTCGGTGTGCGACGCCCACATGTAGATGGGGAAGTTGATGAACTGCGAGTACTTCTTCACGAGCGAGCGGATCGTGTCGGCTTGCAGGTAGTCGGCGGCTTCCTCCTTCAAGTGCAATCTGCGGCAGACGCATCGGTCAGCCGACCGGGCACGGAGACCAGCGAGAGGCGAGGGGATCGGTACTCACGTGATGTGCGTGCCGCGCTGGAGCGTGTTCCCGCGGGGGTCCTCGGCCACGCTGAAGGAGTTGGCGTCCGATTCCCACACATATTGCTTGTCGTCGTTGTGCTTGGTCACCACCGTGACGCGGTCGGCTACCAGGAACGCCGAGTAGAATCCCACGCCGAACTGGCCGATCATGTCGTTCATCTCCTGCGCGCCGCTCTGCGAAACGGACAAATACGCGGTCAGCGGTCGGGTTACGTAGACGGACCGATCCTCCTGCGGAAGAGTTGCTCACCGTCTCGACGTCTTGCATCTTAGAAAGAAAGTCCGCGGTGCCGGATTTGGCGATGGTACCGAGGTTGTTAATCAGATCGAGGCGCGTCATGCCGATCCCCGTGTCGATGATGTGAAGCAGCCGCTTCTCCGGCTCCGCCTTGATGCGTATGCTCATGTCGTTGGTTGCGGTCAGCACGTCGCGGTCCGTCAGCGACAGAAGCCGGATTTTATCAAGGGCGTCGGACCCGTTGGAAATCAGCTCCCGCAAGAATATCTGCAACCCACAGGTGACAATTAAACTGACTGCGTTGCGCGAGCAATGGTAGAGACAAACGAATAGTACGTACCTCTTTGTTTCTGTAGAGTGAGTTGATAATGAGCTTCATCATGCGGTTCACTTCCGTCTGGAAGGTATAGTTCTGTGCGCGTGCGAGCAGTTCGCGCTGCTGCGCTGCCGTCAACCCGTCCGGAGAGATGGCCTCCGCCTCCCGCGATACCGCCTCCGCATCTACAGACCCACATTTTATTATAAAAGCGGATCGAATTAGTTATTTCTAAGTTTTTGTATATGTTGTATGAGGCGTAATTTATGGATACAAAAATTTTTTTTAACGACAAATAGATTAACTGCTTGAGTGAAGCTACAGTGGCCGAGAATGGTTATACGTTTTTCTGTCTGACGCGAATTTCGGGGGGAAAAAATAGAAAGTACGAATGTAAGAATGAAAGGGTAATGTGGGGAATCTATGTATGTCGGTCGAGAATTCGTCGCCAAGGCAACCGTAAATTCGACCCAGCCTAAACGTTGCGACGCATTCGGGTTCATGGCTTCGGAGGCGTCAGGCAGCCGGTCTGCGGCGGCCGCGGGCCTGTCTAGCGCTGCGGCAGCGGCGGAAGGCCACGTGCGGCCGCACCACCCGCACTCCTTCAAGCTGCGATTCTGCGCCGAGCGCGAGCCCGGACGCTCCTACGTGTCCCTCGTCAAGCCGCTTGGCCTCCGTTAGTGCTCACAGCGGCGTTTTGACCTTTTCGTCTAGTTGATTTTAGGTGTGGTACAAAGCTAAATCTCGTGTTATCGTTTACACAGCGGCGACCGTGACAGACAAATTCTACGCGCGCGGTGAGGCGGTAGACGCGGTCGCCGGCGAGGACATGGCGCTGCAGCGCGTGCGCGACGTTTTCCACCGCGGACCGAGGGACAAGTACGTGGCGCCCAAGTTGGCCTCTCACGAGTGAGTACGACGGGAGGCGGCGGGGCGGCTGTGGACGCGGACTGAGCAAGACGTGTTCCAGATACGGCTGGTGGGCGAATCACGCCGTGCCCGAGGAGCGCTGGCGGGGCGCGCGACTGCGGTACGCCATCGTGGACTCGGCGTGGCTGCGCGAGCGCGCACGCCTGCTGGCCGCCGACGCCGCGCAGCGCCGGCGCTGATTTCGTGACAATGTGTTCACAGACACCAAACCAGTTCTTTATGACTGTTTAACTTAACGAGTTCTTAGGTTTTCGCGATTGTTACACATAGGAAATGAAACTATTTTTCCGGATTTAAATCGCGTATATTTGTTTTTTCAAACAAACCGACGTTTCGGGCCCTTTACAGGTCCCATGGTCACGGTTGACTGAGGTGGTACAGTCTTCAACCAGTTATGTCTAATATTAATGCAAACCACCCTATTTTTTCACTATAGTTACAATAGTTATTAATACCTTATTTTTAATTTTACAAAGAAAACATTCCAATTTACGCTACATTAAGTTTTACAAATTATTTTATTGAATGAATTTTTATTAAGTTTAATTTTTTATTAATTATTAATAGAAATTAGAATAAACTAAAACATATTAATTAGTACTGCAGTCTTATGTCTGTTTGGGATTTTTCATTAGAGGAAATACTGGATCCCAAACTGGTGGTACGGAGAAACCATCTTCCCTGTTGAAATTAGGATGTTTTTTAATTTCAATGGCCTCTCGCAGCATCCTGGGCAGATAACGGACTTCTTTTGCAAGGACCTGGGGTTTGACAACGGGCCCGAAACGTCGGTTTGTTTGAAAAAACAAATATACGCGATTTAAATCCGGAAAAATAGTTTCATTTCCTATGTTTAACTTAATCCTGACATTACTTGCCAGAGAGCTATAGTTTATAGACTACCACAAAAATGATTGAAAAATGGAATTAATCTTGTATAAATTGAAATATCATTCCAAGGTCTGATAACAGAGATTAGTTGCTACCTATAGTTGCAGTATGTGTGTTAGTTTCAATTAGACAAAAAAGATAACTTGCTCAAATGGCCTTTACGAATGAATTTTATTATATTAGGGTTAGTAACACTGTTTACTACATTTGACTTTTTATTGACTATGAAATCCCCACCAAAAGGTATAATCTTGTCCCATTCCAAAAGTACTTTTTAATTTTTTTTATAATATCAAGTGATGGGACAAACAAGTTGTATGCTTGATGGTAAGTTACACGCCTGTCCATAACAGTTATTCCTACTCATATTCTACAAATTACATCATGAACAAATTTATTCTAAGTTTGTGTAGATATTATAACAACAAATTGAAAGACATTGTATGTTTTTCTGTATTATTGATGAGTTACAAGCAAGAAAGAAGAAAGCAGTAGATATAACATTTTATAGAGGACACCATGAATAAATTAGAATAAACTAAAACCTCTATGACAACTGTGGGACGAGCATGACAAGGTACGACTTGCGCGAGAGCGACATGAAGTGCGCCGGTCTGCTATTCTTGCATAGAGAATAACAATATCTTGCTCTGTATGTTGCTCTCGCGCAAGTCTCGCCCTGCTGTGCTGGCCCTACTGGTTTAACTAACTACATTATTTTTACTTCATTTGTTTCGTGTTTGATAGATGTCACCATACCTTTTCCAATACCAATAGGGATTGCTATCTGTTGCAAAAATTCAAATTTTGTAATATTTGTACTTATTTAATGAAACACTCTAGTCTGTTAATAACTGTAATGATAAAAAATGAGTGTACTATTATATCGACTCATACGAAGAACAAAGATCTATGTGCAAGACTACTTGTTCTTAGGACATAGTACATTTCGTTCGTTCTTCTTCGCTGTAGATGTCAGATCGACTGTTGTTTGATTATATATTTCCGAAACCAAATAAGACACATAAATTCTCAAAACTCTTTTACATGGGTCTTAGTTTGAATAACGAAATTATTCTCGTAATGTATCTATTCTCTTTTCGCTATATAATCACATCGGACTCTGTTCTTCGGATGAGTCGATATATTGAATGTATAATGTATGTATTTCATATTAAGTGTTAATTCAACATAGTAATGTAATGTCATTGTAAAAATTAATAATGCAGTATAATGTTATAAACTAATGTATTAAGTAATCTACAGTTATGCCCTTGCATGGTGTCACACGTTAACTGCCTAACACTGTAACACCTAGAATTAGCTATGTATGTGACATGCAATAAATGAATATGCATAAATTACTGTATTTTTTTGTAAGATTTATAAGATTGTATGTTGTCCTAAATAAATAAATTTTAAAAAATAGCTTTTCAGTTACAATTTGAACAATTTTTAAATTTATCATCACACTTATCAGTCGTGGTAGTTACGTCTATTGCTGTAAATAGTCAATATTCCGAGTATTTAAAGGAAGGATTCAACAAAGAGGGGGACGAGTCAGGCTGCAGTACTTACCAGTGCGGGAACCCTCGCGTGATGCACCCAAATCAGCATCCACTGTGGGGGAACTCGTCTCCTCCTGCGCCGCGCATCCTGCTACAGACAACAGCGCTCAAGAAATCTTTGTCAAAATTATTAATTAATACCTTACTTAATAATATGTAAATTGTGTGCTATTAATTTCTTTCTCGTTTCACTTGTCTCGCAACACTAATATACAGGAAACTTCTAGAGGTGCAGTCGGCGCCACGATGTTAGCGGCTTATCGACGCCGGCCGTAGTTCGGCAGCGATGCTATAGCCTAATCCCCACTAGGCCAGAAAATCTTACATAATCTACACTGAAATTACATTAATTTCAATAAAGATTCATAATAATGACGGTAATGCTATTACTATACGAGAAATTTCACCCTCGCCTTCGTGTGGCTGTCGACGTTTAAGTATCACAGAAAATATTACCTGTAAGTAGTAGGACCGCCGCTCCTAAGACTATGAGATATTTCATTGCCCTTTCAACACGACTAACGTTACAAATAATAAGCTACTTTTTCAATTCAAATGTTTAACTAAAATTATGAAAATACATTTGTCGCAAAGCTCATTCTTCAAAATGACAAATGCGAATGAAGCCGCTGGCTAAGAGATCTTCGACTTCACACGACACAAAGATGACACTGACAGCTTCCGCTGTTTGCTATTGGATAAAAAATCAATTGAAAGGAATGTGGCCCAATGAGATGACACCACGACATGTTAATGACAAATTATCATAGAGTAGTATACAAATGTCGTTACACCATTGGTTGATAAATTTTTATCTTTTCGTCCAAAAAAGTAGACGAAGCTACGGCCAAAAATCGTCTCAGAGATTGAGAGCAATGAGCATCCCATTCATTGCGAACATGTAATCTAGCATGTCGGCTAACATGTTGTCTAATTAATTTATTTGAGTTGTTGTCCTTATTTAGGAAGATACAATGATACAACAAGAATTGAGGAATCATGAACCTTGTATTTGGGGTTTCATGGCGGAGAATTTGTTTTGTAAAATTATTTATAACAAGAATTTCATAAGAAATTTTGCAGAAAATTTTTATAAGTATTCTGCTACTTTTTAGAAATACAATCCGAAAATAACGACATATTAGTGGATACCCATTAACGAACTATATGAATTAGAGTACTAAATCTAGCGAGGAGGAAAAAACGTGATGTGCAAATTTTGTATATTTTTTTTTTTAAGAGTTTTGGCTTGGATATAAGTACTTTGAGCCATGTTTCGTTTACTTATCGGGATCCTCAGTAATATTTTTCATTGTGTTTGTAATACATAACGTTTTCACTTTCTTTTAAATAACTTAGTTCATTTATTTGGGTTTTTTAAATAGTCTTAAGTGGTGGGAGTCAATATTTATGTTTTCACTTTCACTTAAAATCACATCTTCTATCACTTTGAACAAAAGAGTTTTTAGGATAAATTCCTATTATTATTATACTAAATAAGACAATTAGAGTTTTTAGGATAAATTCTTGTGATTTGGTTTAAAATAAGGAATATAGTTCTAACTTTCTTCATCACTATTTCTTTCTTTGTTTTTTTTT